TCTTTCTCCTGAGGAACTGCTGGTAGTTTCGAACTGCTGACCTTGCTGTTTGTAGCCCGATTCATAGCCACTACGCTACCAGAGCTCCTTACCAGGTCTCCTTATCCATGGTATAAACTCAAACCAAACCCACTACTGTTAAGTCGATTTGGATTTGTAGTGAACCTCTAGGACAGGGCAGAACGGCCCCAATGGCTTTCCATAGCTGTAATCTTTATAGAAGCAAACTGACGCATCTTTCTCTCTCAAAGGGCTTGGTAGATTCACAGCACCAACCTTTATCAGTTAGCAGCTGAGTACTTAAGTCAACGCAGCTTTACCCCAGCTCAGAGGGGACCAAAAGTTGAATGTCTTGGGAAAGCCCCCAGCTTGGAGCATCCCAAGACAGCTGCTCAATCTCCCAAGCTCTTGTTGTGAGACCACATTGGTATCGCTCACAGACTCTGGGAAGTAGAAAAGAACATTGTATTTAAAGCAAGCCTCCAAAGATGCAGGCAGCAACTGACATTGTAGCAGCTCTGAGTCTGCATGGTGTGCTGGGGACACACTGGTGACCTGGATAAGGCGCTTGCCTTCTGAAACTGACTGGGGTTTAAGTGCTCACTGTCACTGGTGACTCAGGGGTAGAATTCTTGCCTGAGTTCCATTCCCAGGCAACGCGTCTCCTACACAACCAGCACCCCCTGTCAGTGGCAGCTGAAATTGCTAGGATGCTGAATAAGTTTCAGTGGAACGTCCAGACTAAGACGAAGAGGAAAGGCCTGGTGATCCACTCTTGGAAAACCAGCTCAGGAAACCCTATGGTTCAACAGTGACTTCACCTTCGATCAAGAGAATGGTACACTGGTGGACAGCTTCATGCCTTTGTGCATGGGGGTCTCTGTGAGACGGGGTAGACTTCATGATGGCTAGGAATAAGGACAACTAGAGTAATCACGTGACTAAAGGGCCTTGACTGAGTATCTCCAGTGCTCAGGCATTCATTCATTCCATCAGTACTTTGCACCTTATAGAAACCTTTACAATGACATCGGAAGTCAGGGATGATATAATACTACATAGAGTTAGCACCAATTTCCAGATGAGGAAAGAGGTACTTGAGGAGCATGGAGAGGCTTGGCAGTATGCCCAAGGTCACTCTGACGGGTAGAGCAGGATTTGAACAGTTCCAGAAGATTGTGGGGGTAACTTTTCTTCCTTTCACCCTGAAGGCTTCCTTGAGCTGGGAGGCAGGTGCTGGCTTCAGCTCATCCAGTTTAGTCTTTTCTCACTTGGAAAATGGGAAGGGAATGAATTCTGGAATCCCCCTCTCTGGATTCCCCAGCAGCTTAGAATGTTATAGAATGTTCTCTGTTCTGCCCACCTCTACCTGGGGGTCCCCACAGAGAATACTGGGAGGAGACTGGCTCTGGTGTGGGCTGGAGCAGAATTTCACCTGCCCCACATCAGCCTTCTTTGGTCTATGAAATTAGTTGAGCAATCCGTAGGTGTTTTCTAAGCTGCAATTCTTAAACTTTTCTGGACAAGGATCATATCATATTGGGAAAGAAGTTTTGCATCGTAATCATTCAATACCTGTATTCCCAGATACTTATCAGCTGGAAGCAAAAGATTCACAAAACAATACTCACCTTTCCCCAGTGTTAACTCAATGCAATGTTTTATTTTCTGTTCGACTCCAATCCTGGTGACCCATGTGTGTCACATAGAACTGTGTCTCAAAAGGCTTTCAGAAGTAGAGTACCAGGCCTTTCTTCTAAAGCACCTCTGTGTGAATTGGAACCTGCAAACTTTGGATTAGGAGCTGAGTTTGTTGATCATTTACACCACCCAAGGAGTCTCAGATTTATATGTTGAAGGGTTGTCTGGAGTCTTTCCAAACTTTTTTTTTTTTTTCTGTGTAAGTAAGGACCAGGAAACTTCAAAAAGTCCATGGAAAATTTTCATGATCTTTTATTCCATTTTTTTCCATATATTTTTTGAAGCCCCCCTCATATAGATCAAAGGAGTTCTGGTAGCATAGTGGTTATGAATCAGGCTGCTAACCTCAGGATCAACAGTTCAAAACTACCCACTGTTCTATGGGAGAAAGATGAGGCTTTCTGCTCCTGTAAAGATTTACAGCCTCGGAAACCCTGTACAGGGTCGCTATGAGTTGGAACCGATTTCACGGCACATAACAACAACAACAACAACAACAACAACATATAGATCATATAGAACAGGAGCTCTGGTGTAGCGCTGCAGGATAAGCACTGGACTGCAAGGTTGGTCGTTGAAACTCACCAGCCAGTCCTCAGAAATCTTATATGGAGTTGCTATAAATTGGAACCAATTCTACGGCATTTAACATATAGATCACAGGAGCCCCGGTGGTCCTATAGGGTAAGCACTGGCCTGCTATCCCAAGATTGGCAGTTCAAACCTGCTAGCAGCTCCGAGGGAGAATGATAAGACCTTCTGCTCCTGTAAATATTTATAGCCTCTGAAATCCTATACAGGGCCCCTCTGTGTCCAAATGGACTCAGTTGGCAGTGGTTTTCATGAAGATCAGGGGCCAGCAAACTTTATCTATTAATATTTTCAGCTTATTGGACCATATTGTCTCTGTTACAATACATGCAGGACTCCAAGGTT